ATCTCTCTTTTATTTGTATACTCTTTCCTTAAGGGCAATGATATTGATACCTAAAAATTTGACTTAATCTACATACTTAAAAATAGTGTTTTATAAAACTGAAAGTTAAATATTGAAAATTAAATGCTAAATTTTTTAATTCGCAGACGACTTGATATCTACTGAAATTTAGGTATTGAATTAAATCAAACTATTTGACAAATATAAGAAACTAAAGTTTGAAAATTATTAGGATTATAATTTTGTCCTTATTTTTAACCATTTCACTGCAATTACCTTATTCTTACTACTACCATCACAATGGTTGTAGTCATGACGGTGGTGATAATGGCGGCACAATAGTGGTGGTGGCCACGGTGGTGATGGTGGTGGTAGTGGTGATGGTGTGGCGGTGGCACCACGGTGGGTAATAACACAATTTGTGGTGGTGGTAGTGATGGTGGTGGTGGTGGTTCTGGCACAATGGTGGTGATGGTGGCGGCACAATGATAGTGGTGGCAGCGGCGACGGTGATAGTTGTGGTGATGGTGGTGGCTTATTGGTGGTAGCGGTGGTGGGTATTGAAAAGTTAAAAATGTAAAGTACATTAAGGGTATATTTGTCAATTATGAAGAATTTATAAAATCCTTACTAACATTTTCAGCATCAAGTGATAAATAGATGACTTGCTACTTAAAATTTTGGCATATTTTTAAAAAGTGGTATGAATTTTAGATTATTAAACAGGTTTAATTCATTAAGTGTTAAAATATTTATTTTTAAGCATTAAATCATGCTATCAAACAACCCCTTAATGATGTGGTAGTAACACAGTCAAATAGAATTATTGTAGCTTTAATTGTTTGTATGGGGGCAAAACTTGTACCTGACGACTCTTTTTTTTGAGGAACAACGATGAAAGTTTATTACTGAAAAATATCAGCAAGAAAGAGAGACAAAACAAATTTGGGTGCCTACTCCAACCATACAATGCTACTATTTAAAGGTACTTCAAAACGAGCTAACTCATGTGCTACATTATTCCCATTACGACAAACTTCAGACACTTCAAAATAGCGAAAACTTCTCACTATACTATTAATGTCTTGAAAAATGGCTTCTAAAGGATCGAACTCACCATCACCTTCTCTGATAGATTGCATGACCACTGCAGAATCCCCTTCTAGTATAATATCTACTAAACCTTGCTGCCTTGCAAATTGGACCGCAACTTTTGCAGCTATAGTTTTTGCTTTACGGATATCACACCTCATGACAAATCTTCTGGACAAGGCCCCAACAAAATCACCCCTGTCATCTCTTATAACAACTCCCACCCCTAAGACATTTTGCTTTGAAAAAACAGTAGAATCGAAATTAACTTTGAGTGTACCTGCTCTTGGGGGACACCATCCAGCGTTGAGGCTTTGCGAAGGACTACTACCAGCCTGATCAACTGACTCTCTATACAGCCTATAATAACCAATAGCTTTCCTCTGCACTTCAACAGGGTTCTGAGCCATATTTTCAAAAATCCGAAGGTTCCTATTTCTCCACACAAAAATAAGAAACAAAGAAAATTCATCAGAAGTGAGAACCTAATGAACATCGTGCAGCCACTGCCCTGAGTTCGATACCATAAATTGGGCTGCTGCCTAAACTGAATTGACTCTCCATACTGTATTAGCCCAAGGACAATCCCTTAGGCATTGTACCAAAGACTCCCCACCTTCTTGACACACTCCACAATTCCAGTCCACATTCACTTTCCTTCTCCGAAGATTATCCCCTGTTGGAAGAGCATTAGAACAGACCCTCCAGGCAAAGATCATAATTTTATTTGGGATTTTCTGATTCCAAACAAAGTTCCAATTTAGTTGTCCAGCACTTGAAGAAGGAGATGAGTTGCTTGACCCATCTTGCAATAGCTTTTGATCAATAATAATATGGTATGTGCTTCGAACCGAGAATCTACCATTTGATTATAATGCCAAATCAATCTATCCTCCAATGAATTCCTGCTTAGTGGAATGCTTTTAATCACCAACACCTCAAGAGGCAGAAAAACATCATCCACCAACTGCTCATTCCAACTCCATGATTGTTCATTAATAAGGTCCCCAACCGAAGTAGGTAAACTCCTTCTAGGAGAAACAGTCTTGAAGCTTACAGGGGTAGGAATCAACCTATCCGTCCAAATTTTAACTCTGGACCCGTCACCTATTCGCCATCTTGAACCTGCTTCCACAACTTTCCTTGCACCCAAAATGCTTCTCCAAGTGTATGATGGTCTATGCCCAATCTCAGCCTCCATGAAAAAAGTCGAGGGGAAATACCTAGCCTTAAGCACTTGATGGAAAAGAGAATTAACTTCTGTATTTAATCTCTATGCCTGTTTCGCAAGCATTGCCAAATTGAAGGCCCTTAGATCTCTGAAGCCCATACCGCCCCTCTCTTTCCTTGTACACATCCTTGACCAACTGACCCAATGTATTTTCCTCTCCCTTTGTCTTTGACCCCACTAGAATCTGGTCGCAAGTCTCTTGAGTTCTTCACAAAAATTATCCGGGAGTTTAAAACACCCCATGGCATATGTAGGAATGGACTGCACCACCACTTTAATTAAAATATCCTTCCCTGCTCTAGATAAGAGTTGTTCACTCCATCCTTGAATTTTACTCCATATCTTTTCCCTTAAATTGCTGAAGACTTCTTTTTTAGATCTACCCATCACAGTTGGAAGACCCAAATATTTGTCATGTTGGTAAACCCGTTCTACCCGCAACATATGCTGAATTATGCTGGCTTGCACCTCCGAAGAATTGCTGCTAAATACCACTGCAGACTTTTCCAAATTGATTTTTTAGCCTGAGGCAACTTCATAAATCGCTAAAATTAGCTTCACAGCTTCAGCCTCTTCTTTAGATGCATTAAAGAATAATAAATTGTCGTAAGCAAACAAAAGGTGTGAAATACGTCGACCACCCCTTCCCACCGAAACTCCTATAATCGCACCATGCAACTCTGCATTCCGTAAAAGTGCTGTTAAACCTTCTGCACAGATCAAAAACAAGTAAGGTGAAAGGGGATCTCCTTGACGAAGACCCCTTTCAGGATAGAAAAAACCCATTTGATCATTGTTCAGCAAGATGGAATACGAAACAGTTGTAACACAAAGCATCACCAGAGTAACCCATTTACAATCAAACCCCAACTTAATCATCATCTTTTCCAAGAACACCCACTCCACCCTATCATAAGCTTTGCTCATATCCAGTTTTAATGAAACATGTCCCATTTTACCCCAATTCTTACACTTTAGAAAATGGTTAATTTCAAAAGCCACCAACACATTGTCGGTGATTAGCCGCCCAGGAAGAAATGCACTTTGAGATTCAGAAATAACCGATGGCAGTACATACTTTAGACGATTAGCTAATTTTATATAAGCTAATAGGTTTGGACTCATGCATAGACTCTGCATTCTTACATTTAGGAATGAGGACAATGTGAGTATAGTTGAACTTAACTGGAAACTGACCACCATCTAGAAAATTTAAGACACAGTTTACGACATCTGGCTCGACAATATGCTAGTACTTCTAGAAAAAAATAGGAGGCATACCGTCGGGACCGGGGGATTTAGTGGGAAACATTTGGGAAATTGCAGTTGATACCTTATCAATTAGAAATGTCTGCAAAAGCCTTGAATTCATTCCATCCGACACCTTACAGTCTACCTTGCTTAGCACTTCCTCTAGTTCTTGGGTTTGTGGTCTACTAGATGTAAACAGATTCTTGAAATACCCCACAACCACTTGTTCCATTTCATCCAAATTCTCACACCAACCCCCTTCTCCATTCTTGAGCTGTATAATTGTGTTTCTTCTTCGTCGTTGAGATGCCCAGGCATGGAAAAAAACTGTGTTCTTATCCCCCTCCTTCATCCAATGAACTTTCTATCTTTGACGCCAATAAGACTCCTCCATATCGAGTAGATTATTCAATTCCGTCTCCACGCTTTGAGCTTGATGCCTAGAGCTCTCTGTTATACCACTCTGCTTTAAATTTTTCAACTTGCCCGTCAACGCATCTATCTTCACTGGAATCTGACCAACATGCACCTGTTTCCACTTAAGTAACTCTACTCTACAGCTTTGAATTTTCTTTGTAAACCCACGAGCCCCTTGACTATGCACATTAGAATTCCAGGCCTCCTGAATAATCTCCTCATAACCCTCTCTCTTCACCCATGTCGCTTCGAACCTGAATAATCTTCTCTTTGGACGCCTCACTTGAGTCGACAACCCCATGTTACTATCCAATAAAACTTTGTAGTGGTCTGATTCTTTCGAGAATTTATGGCAAACCCTCGAGTTAGGGAATTTCGTAATCCATGCCAGATTTGCACACACTCTGTCCAACCTTTCCCACACCGTATTTGGTTCCTTCCAGTTGTCGCACCAAGTAAAAGGGAATCCCACATACCCCAAATCCATCTATGCACAGTTGTCTAAAGCTTGACGGAAATCTCTCATTTGCCATTCTGCCCTTCCTCTTCTCCCTTTCTTCTCGTCTTGTGAAAGTATTTCATTGAAATCCCCTGCACAGACCCAAGGCATATTATTTCTACTTCTCAGATGGGTTAACAAAGCCCAAGTATCCCTATGCTTCGAAATCTTCGGTTCCCCGTAAATCCCTGTTAACCTCCATGATCCACTAACACCCCCACGTTAACCACAACATCAATGTGTCCACTGGAGAAACTCTGCAGCACCACATTCAGATCCTTCTGCCACAACAACGCTAAACCCCTGAGTTTCCTTGTGCCTCTACTGCCACTCCCCACATACCAAACATCATTTTCAACACCTCATTTTTCCTAGTATTACACTTTGTCTCCAATAGGAAGACAAAATCGGGCCACTCTTTCTTTATGAAATCACGCAAGTCCTGAACTGCCCGAGGATACCCCAAACCCCGGCAGTTCCAACGAAGGAGTTTCATAATGATCGGTGGGTCTAGAGACCAGACCCCAACATTACCTCTTCCATTTCTACCAAAGCTAAATCCCTTGATTCAGAACTTAACCTAACTTTTTTCTTGGAATCCCCTCCCAAACTAGAAGTCCGATCCTCATTGCCTTCACTCTGGTTTCGTTTGCCATATAGATTCACTTGGGAGCTTGTTTGAACTGGAGGAATAGTGCCCTTCTCTTTTCTTCTCCACTTCTTCGTACCAATCAGTTCTCGAGTATAGGTAATTTCATCTAATCCTTCTGTATCTCCCAATTTAGGTAGTTGTTTGGGCTGGGCTAAAAAGGCAATGAGTGAGTCCATAAAATCTTCAATAGCCCAATGCTCCATCCTATCACTTTCAGAAACTTGTTGGTTACTGGACACCTCTAACGCCCCCACCACTCCATTATCTAAACTTGGGCCCTTTTCAATGGCCCAATTTCCTTTCGATCTATTACCCTTGTCCAAAGGCATATCCCTCTCATTTGGACTGCCATTATTTCCCTTTCCTTTGGTAAATAATTTGGTATATTAACTGACACCTCCCTTAGTTCCACAGATATTTCTCTTTCCATATTCTGCCTCCCATAAAGGCTCTTAGTAATAGTAATTCCTTCATCTTCGATAATTGATCCCTTCCTTCCCATAATGCACTCCTCATTCACTGCCTTTCTATTTTTGTGGGGTTTTCCTAAAGATTTTGGTCCTCTTTCCGGCGAAACACCGCTGGACTTCTCCCCCCCCCGGTGGTTTTTCCACTCTGGCATTTTGACCAAAAATGATTTTAGAACCTCTACCCACCGGAGCCCTCAACCATGCTCCAAATTGCATTGGTCCTTTCGTTGCTAGAACTGAATAATCCAGCTTTAACAAACATTCTCTTTCCCCATGGCCGAACCTTCTGCAACAATAAAAAAAATGAGGCAGCCTCTCATACTTGAAAAACACAGTAAAACTTGATCACCCCCCACCCCTTTAATATTCACACCAAGGTTTATCAATATTAATAATCACTCGAACTCTCAACCGTCTTCCCCAACCTACACTGTTTGTCAAATCCGTTTCAACATAACTTCCTATCCTATTTCCTATAATTTCTGCATATTCTTGATTCATTCTATTGAAAGGTAGATTATAAATATGAACCCAAAAGGGACAACTTTTGAACGATACATTGGACACCTGAACCGAACCATCAAAATCCTTCAACAAAACTAAATGGTTATCAAAAGACCAAGGCATACCTTCAAGAACTCTGTTCTTATCTAGCATATTGCTGAACTGGATGAGAAACAAATTATCACCAACCTCTATGAATTCCACTTTGATATTATTCCAAACCTTCTTCATCATAGATTTGAAAGCCACCTTGTTGTAAAGCTTATCCGACAAGACTTTACCAAAAATACATAACTTGCCTTTCTCCCCAAGTTCGCCGTCTCCCTGATCTAGGAGATGAACTCCAAGACTCTCCTCCTCACCAAGTGTAAAATTACTCCACAACTGTTGCATCTCCTCATCCATTGTAAATTCTAGTAGACCACTCACACCAAAAGGGAAGACGTTTCAGCAAGCCAACCACCCTGAGCCGAATGGAATGATTCAAAACCTGCAAACAGAAGAAGACAAAACAAACAAAGGGAAAGATGAACCGAAATGATGTCTTTATTAGAGGACGGACTATAATACCTAATGGGCAAGAAAGGGTTGTAATACTCAATGAAACTACCTAAGTTGATGACCATAAAAGAAATCCTAAGAACAAAAGAACTTCCATTAGATAGACCTAAGGAAGACAACCACTCTGCAAAATAGAGAGAAAACTCTACCCCTAGAGAGAGAGACTGACGTATGGCACTTAACTTATGAATGTGTGTGTGTGAGAGAGAGAGATAGTTTTTTGTACATGACGAGATTGATGATGCGGAAACTGTAGTTTTAGAGGGAAACAAACAAAGTGTACCTCCTCCTCCTTCAAAATGACAAATTGTCAGAGGCTAGAGATTAATCGGCTGGAGACACTCCGCTGTTTAGATTAGAAAGGGTATTGACATTAAGGAAATAAATTGTAAAAGAAGGAATGCTTACCCTAGATTTAAGTCTCTCGATATTTATAGGGTTCCAACACTATTTTTAGGGTTTAGATTTATGGTTGTATTGTTGGGAAGATGATATCATATATACATTTTTACTTATTAAAATTTCTAATATATATCATGCAATTAAGAACAAAAAATAGTAACGCATAAATCTGACTTGATTGTCGAATAAGAATGGTTTAAGAATTTGATCAAGGCTAGTGTTTAACACTATATCTTTAAAAAAGACTTCGCGTTCACTTTGGTGCTTATGGATTATTGAGTATCTGTTTCCCAAGATACAATGATCACGCAAATAAAAGAAGTATTATAATATGTCTGCATAGAGAAGCAAAAGTTATGTTTTCTACTTTATGTATGAAGACTACCATGAGAATGATGAATGTAATGAAAACGTGAATTTTGTAAGAACTTAATGCAGAATGAATCTAAGAATATTTATAGATACAGATGTGACTATTCGAAACAGCCACCATTGATAAGTTACAAACCATAAGACACAATTCACGCCTGTCCATTCATGAACAGACAAAAAACTCAAATTCGTAACTAGTTGAAAATTCAAATCCAAACCGGTGTGAATTTAAATTCCAATAGGTAGAAAATTAAAGTCGGGTAATAAATTAAGGACCCATTTAGCAAATGAACTCTATCCTAAAAGATAAGATTTGATGCAACCCACACTAATACCCAAGCCCAAGCCCTATTGGGGAGGGCGGGTGGGCGAGCGATGGCAGTGCGTGCGCGTGTGGTAGAACCCAAGCCCATCTAGGTTTTCTCCCGTCCAAAAAAGTGGGATGCCCCTTGGTGTCGAATCCGTAGAGCAAGCTTGAGGTATATATGCTCACCATAATTTCTTTACCCAACCAATATGGGATTGATGTTAAATCCCACATATCCCAACCTCTATCTCTACATTCTAAGTGGGTCACTTTGGTGAGTATTTTCTCATTCACCTTTTACTTGATTTGAACAAGCGAATATACTATATTATTCTCTTCACGGAGTAGAACACAAATTCATAAAAAATTATTCAAAAAAATAAGTGAGTTCCACTTTAATTTAGGCTCAAAGTAGACCTAAAATCAATTTTTTTATACCCAAAAAACTGTTTTAGTCTAACAATCCCTCACATGAATGAAAATTTGATTGTAAGTATGATAATTCTAACACACCATAGAGAGTACCTCTTGAAAAGATTGTGAATCGAGATAGGTAGTTTGTGGCCTTAAACCTTTCCTAGTGAATGTCCATCGGACTTACCAGCTAAATAGTGAACATGATATCTTGAACTATTCAGTTGTTTGAGTAATTAAATCAAATAAATTTCACAAAGTCTCTTCACAATACAATTGGTTCTCATGATTGTGTTCATTTGGGTCCTGAACAACTCTTGATTTTCGTGAGTGCATTAGAGAATCCAGCTTTACAATTCTCATAAAAGAGGCCCCTGTACGCCTATATAGGTGACTCCTATTTAGAATATCCTACTATATCCCACTAGAATTTCCAAGATCTAAGAGACATTAAAAACATAGCTTACCCTAATCACCGTTGTAGGTAGCGATAATTTATCATATGAATAGGTTGAAGAGTTTGTCTCCATAGTGCTTCCTTTGAATTGCATATAATTTGATTGTCTATTTGAACCTAGATTCTGGGATCTTTAGTCAACTAGGTCAAGTTGTAATTATGGGGACTCTTAAGTCATATGCTTTAATCCCATTCAACTCGATGCGCAATTTACTTTCTCTCTCATCAAACCTTTGGTAAGCGGATTTGCTAGATTTTTCTTTGACTTCATATAGTCAATAGAAATCATCCCATTTGAGAGCAATTGCTAAAAGGTATGCCATGAGAGGTATCTACCAATGCTTGAGAGAGCTAACCACTTAGAACAACACCAAAAAGAGAACAACAACCATAATGGGGTTGTTCAACCATGGGCAGCAAGATAAGCGAATGGAAACGAGAATTTTAAGGTAGCACCCGCCTACTTTTTAGGGAAGCTCTAACCCGATGGATGCCAATAAGTGGATCTGTAGGGTAAAGAAGACGTGTGACAACATGGGGATTGTTGAGGACCTCCGAGTCGATTTGGCTTCCTACCTTCTAGAAAGGAAGAAAAACCATTGATGGGATTTGGTGAAGAAGATGAGGAATGTTGATGTGGAGAAAATACAACACTTCACACGTAGGATCTTTCCACTTGATTATACACGAGGAATCGCACGCTAGAACTAGATGTGAGATGAATAGGTTAATTTAAAATTAAGCTCAGATGACCTCCAATTTTAACCTATATTTACCACAATTACCTCTTCTCATTAAGATATGACAATTTAAGTGAGAACCCCTTTTAACATGAACAACCCATTAAGAGTGAATGGATGAATGAATATGCAATCAACACCAACCAATCTGTCTCATGTTGAAAGTCTCCTTACTTGGCGTGGGATTAATTTTATTAAGCAATCTGTCTCACGTTGGGGAATCATAAATCCTACCATGTTTTTATAAATGTTGTGTTAAAATGCACATTAAGGATAAGGAATACAAAAAGTGCTTTAGCAAAATAATTCTAACTTATTTGAATAAGTATATGGTTAATAAATATGTTGCAACCAAGCATGAGAATTACTAAGTTAACAACTAAGAATCTAGTAACGATTCATGGTAAGGAACTAGTCAAATAGTCGTACAGAATTACTAGGAAGAATTGATAAGTTGTTATGAACATGGAAGGTGTACATGATTCCTACTGATTAAATGAGACTCTAAACCCTAGTAAATAGATGTAAGCTTAGGTGATCAAGTTAATTCAATAAAGGGGCAAACATGAAAATGAATATTATAAATTACATGTTGACTACTGAGACATAGGATGATTTTGCAAGAATGAAACTTAGGAAAAGGATACTAAGGATACGAGTGGCATAGACATAATTTAACAGAAGGACGTGTGTGGTTGTGTTAAGGATCTATATATAGATCAAGATGTTGAAGGAACATATTTAGGAATCTTAAATGGATGAAGTAAGATGGATACATGTTGATTGATTATCTTCTTGCAATGAAGGAGGTAAGATGGATATAGTTTGTTGGATGGATTAATTGATTATTTCTTAAGGACCATGTATTTGGAAGGTTGAATGATGAAAGAAAATTAAAAATCTAATCTTATTTTTGTAAATAAAAGCAACTTTTGTAGGTTTGATCATATATTGGGGCTTAGTGTGACATAGCTAGATCTAGATATGCTTAAGTTTCTAGGACAAAACTTACTTTTAGGGGTGTGAATTGTAATTCCCCAAAATGGGGGTTGAAGTTTTATCTGAATTATGATGAAATTTACAAATAATTAGTTGATTAAATTGATACTTGTAAAATTAGGGTTGAATCGGATTGGAGGTCAAAACTCATAAGATATTAAGAATTAGATGTTTGCTAAGCCTTATGCATAAACATAGCATGGATGACTGGTACAAAATTAGATCTGATACTTGATTCTGATAGAGTTGGATTCTTGGGTTAGCTCAGGTTATCGGCTACAACTAAGCTTTGATTTATTGATTAGTCATTACTATGAAGGTTTTTAGGCTAAAAGGACATCACTAACAAATTTAGGGTGTCAAGAAACCCTGGAGTGGATTTCAGAGGATGTAGAAATCTTAAGGGACAAAATGGTGATTTTGATGTATCAGTTATAATTTGGTTTGTGGTTGGTGATAAGTCACTAATATAGTGTTAATATAATATTTCCAATGGAATTTGGAGGTCAAAAAACTTTACGCTAGGTTATTGGTTGGTGTGGTGGTTTAGAAGGGTAAAAAGGGTTTTTTAGCATTTTGGACATTAATTAAGCTTGGGTTTCCAGATAAATCTAAAAATTAAATATTTTTAGGTTAAATAAAACTAGATTTAGATTTGGAACGTCAAAAAACCTTAAGTTACACATGCAGAGTAAATCGGAAGGTTTATATTTATAGTGAAAAAAATAATTTCACGAGGTAGGCTTGCACCAAATTTCGGTTGGACATAATACTTAGCTGGTAGACCTTTGAATGCGGTTGATCGACTCCATTGATGTTTAAGTCGGTTTCTTGACCAGTTTGCTTCGTTTTCGCTCCACTATAAATACTCTTAACCTATATTCTTTTACTGCACCTTCGAAATTTCACTAAGCACCTTTAAAATACTTATAACAAAAGAGAGGAAAGGCTAGCCTGAGCTCTACGGATCTAAAGTTCGATTACACTGATTGACAAATATTGGGTATTTTTCTCTTTGGAGGTAGGATTTCTTTTATGATTTCTCATTAATAATACATTTCATATATGTTCCAGGATCTAATGCCAAATATATGTTTAATATTACAAAATTTAGTTATGTTAATTGCATTATCGATTAGGATTTAGCAGGGTT